GGCAAAGAGAAGAAGGGTGGCTCGAGCAAAGGTGGGGGAGACAAACCGCACAAGGCTTTCAAGCCTTTCAAGGGCCCAGAGAAGGCGGGTGATGGCAGCAAGACGCAACCCAAAGTGAGGCGGGATTGCTACCTATGTGGTGGTCCGCATTGGGCAAGGGAGTGCCCGCAGCGGAACAAGCTTAACGCCCTCATCTCAGCGGTTGGGGAACCATCCCAAGCGGGTGAGACACGGTTGGGAGCGATGCAGGTTCTCAACGCCATACGAGCTGAGGTGCAGAGCGGGGGTGATGCCAAGGCGCGTGCCGCGGCAGACCAGAAGGGTGTTGGCAAGACCCTCAAATATCTTACTGTCAAGATCAAAGGAGTAAGCATCCGTGCTCTATTGGATAGTGGCGCTAACCAAAATTTGATTGCAGTAAGTCTTGCGGAGAGGTTGGGTCTGCCATACCACAAGGAACCAGGATGGGTGAAGGTGGTCGACAATCCTTCTCAGCCCATCTGTGGCATTGCACGCGGGGAGCCCGTGCAAATAGGCTCATGGTCGGGGAAGGTTGACTTGAACATCATAACCATGAGCGACTTCAAGCTGGTGTTGGGTGGTGAGTTTATCGACCAGTTGTTGCCTTTCACCTTCACCAAAGATGGCTGCATATGCTTTGAGGACGGGAACAAGAGTCACAAGGTGCCACTAGAGCGGCTACCCGCTGGAGACCGCATCCTCTCGGCTATACAAGTGTCCCGAGGCATCAAACGAGGTGAGGACACTTATCTAGCTGCTTTAAAGGAATATAGGACCTCGTCTCTTGATGTCCCACAGGAAGTTCAAGGCATTCTCCACGAGTTCGAAGATGTGATGCCCCCGGAGTTGCCAAAGAAACTTCCACCACGGAGGGAGGTCGACCATGCCATTGAGCTGGAGCCTGGTTCGAAACCACCAGCAATGGGTCCCTACCGCATGGCTCCACCTGAATTGGAGGAACTCCGGAAGCAACTAAAGGAGCTACTGGATGCGGGGTTCATCCGTCCCTCTAAAGCACCCTATGGAGCGCCGGTGCTGTTCCAAAAGAAGCATGATGGGACCCTCCGCATGTGCATCGACTATCGGGCGCTCAACAAGATCACAGTGAAGAACAAATACCCCATCCCTTTGATCGATGACCTGTTTGACAAGCTTGGGAGAGCACGATGGTTCACCAAGCTCGATTTGAGGTCGGGGTATTGGCAAGTGAGAATAGCTGAAGGGGATGAGGCAAAGACCACCTGTGTGACGCGTTACGGTGCATACGAGTTCCTGGTGATGCCTTTCGGCCTCACAAATGCTCCAGCTACCTTCTACACCTTGATGAACAAAGTCGTCCACCCATTCCTTGACAAATTCGTGGTGGTATACTTGGACGACATTGTTGTCTACAGCGAGACGCTGGAGGAGCATGTGCAGCATCTTCGACAAGTTCTCCAAGTGTTACGCGAGAATGAGCTCTACGTGAAACAGGAGAAGTGCTCGTTTGCGCAACAAGAGGTGATGTTCCTAGGCCATCGGGTAGGCCATGGGAAGATATCGATGGACTCGACCAAGGTGCATGCCATCTAGGAGTGGGAGCCTCCCAGCTCAATCCCCGAGCTGCGATCATTCCTTGGCCTAGTCAACTACTATCGTCGGTTCATCCAGGGGTATTCGGCAAGGGCCACACCCTTGGCTGACTTGCTCAAGAAGAAGGTCTCGTGGGAGTGGACAGCGGAGTGTCAACGAGCCTTTGAGGACTTGAAGCAAGCGGTGAGCCAAGAACCAGTGCTTGCACTGCCCGACTATGGGAGGCCTTTCGAGTTGCACACTGACGCGTCGGACTTGGCGGTTGGAGGAGTCTTGATGCAAGATGGCCATCCCATAGCGTTCGAGAGCCGCAAGCTCAATGACACGGAGAGGCGGTACCCGGTGCATGACAAGGAGATGACCGCCATCGTCCATTGCTTGCGGGTATGGCGTCATTACTTGCTTAGGAGCAGGTTCGTGATCAAGACTGATAATGTAGCTACGAGCTACTTCCAAAGGCAGAAGAAGCTCACGCCCAAGCAAGCAAGATGGCAAGACTTCTTGGCTGAATTCGACTATGTGATGGAGTACAAGCCTGGGCGGGCTAACGTTGTGGTGGACGCGCTGAGCCGCAAGGCTACGTTCGCCTCCATCAATCGACTTGAGGGTGACATACTGCATCGTGTCAAGGAGGGCCTGGCGCATGATCCTTTCGCCAAGAGTCTTATGGAGCTAGCTCGTGAGGGCAAGACGCGACGATTCTGGTGCAATGATGGTGCTCTATATACCGTGGGGAATCGCCTATACATCCCGAAGTGGGAGAATTTATGACGGGAGCTGATGAAGGAGTGCCACGACTCGAGGTAGGCTGGACATCCAGGAATCAAACGCACCATGGCACTGGTGGAAGAATTATATTATTGGCCACGGATGCGGGATGACGTTGAGGCCTATGTCAGGACGTGCCTAGTGTGCCAGCAAGACAAAATCGAGCAGCGGCAACCTGGGGGCCTCTTGGAGCCCCTGCCAGCCCCAGAACGTCCATGGGAGTGTGTCACCATGGACTTCATCTCAGCTCTCCCACAGTCTGAAGGGTGCGGGTCTATACTGGTCGTGGTCGATCGATTTTCGAAGTATGGAACCTTCATCCCAGCCCCACGGGATTGCAAGGCAGAGGAAGCAGCCCGCTTATTTTTCAAGCACGTGGTGAAGTATTGGGGGCTTCCTCGCATCATCATTAGCGATCGGGATCCAAGGTTCACGGGGAAGTTTTGGAGGGAACTCTTCAAGCTCATGGGATCAGACCTCCACTTCTCCACGAGCTTTCATCCGCAGACGGACGGGCAAACGGAGCGGGTGAACGCACTATTGGAGCTATATTTGCGGCATTTTGTAAGTGCCAATCAACATGACTGGGCAAAATTGTTGGACGTGGCACAATTTTCCTTCAATCTGCAGCGGAGTGAGGCCACCCAACAAAGCCCCTTTGAGATCGTGACAGGCCAACAACCGTTGCCACCGCACTATGTGACGCGAGGCTATACTGGCGCAAGTCCTGCCGCATACAACTGGGCAAAAGATTGGCAGGAGCAGCTCGACGTGGCTAAAGTTTACTTGGATAAAGCCTCCAAAAAGATGAAGAAGTGGGCAGACAAAGAGCGACGGCCGCTGGAATTCCAAGTGGGCGACCTTGTGATGGTGAAGCTACCAGCCCAGCAGTTTAAAGCCTATCGACAAGTGCACAAGGGGCTGGTGCGTCGATACGAGGGACCC